GTGTGAGATAATATGCGTGCAGCTTGAATGTAGGTCAGGCTACTGCTGTTCGCCTGGCAACAGTGTAAAAAATCCCAACTATGGATCCTTGTGTGCGATTGGCTCTGCGCGCCAAGTAGAGAGCCAATAACCTTCCCACCTTGAGGCACCGAGCGTCTGTCTCCATTTTTCAACATCTTCCAGAACACACGTTCACTACCACTTGAACAATCAGTTGTTCTTGACCGCTATTAAAAATATGAACTGCATTTGACTGTAAAAACTATATTCAACTCTTTCAACCATATGTCAAAAAATAAACTACATTGATTAGTATAACCTGCACATTCAACACTATGAATTACATTAAAAGGTATGAGCAAAATTCAATCAGAATTTGTCATCTGCGGTTTGAATGTCGGCCCCCTCTCATTTCCGGGTATTTGCAGAGCTGTGATGTCACAAAAGAACAATTTAGTGGCGACTCTGGCATGCAGTTGTATGCTCTTTGTGTTGAGTTGCTCTTCACGTGTTTTAGCACATTTAAGTAGGGGGAATTAATTCAGTTCAAAATGTTGTAGATGTAACTACTTAGAACTGTTTCTTTGAAAAATAGAAGCTACATTTCCAAAGTATGATCTGCAGTCTACAGACTGCAGTAAAACTAGCTTGAACATATAAATTGGATTGGATTGGATTGGATACAACTTTATTGTCAAATGTGCTGTATGTGTAAAAAAAAATCCAATCAAACTTTTCAACTACATTTAAAGCAATGCAACAATGAAGATCAATTGTCCTTTGTTTGATGAGACAGTGTGTATAAAAATTAATAGTGGCAATATCAATGGCATCTGATTTCCTGAAAAAAAGTTCAAGCCAAATTCTCACTGAGCAGCGAAGGTTTGCAAAAGATTGGCAAGACGTTCGCCAACAATTTTGATGGTTTCAAAGATTTATTTTTTTGTGTCGCAAAAAAGTTTTGAACAGGATTTTGGGGGGTTGCTTTAAAAATGTATTCCAATACAGCAACTAGTTTCCTATTATTAAATATATTAAGCAGTGGCGGGCCGTCACATACATGAACGCAATACTGTATAGGCTCGTCAAGCAGCACTTAATTTCAGAAGCATTTAAAACCATCAAGTATGCGTTCACAATTAAGAGCAGGAAACTAAATTTACAGATAGTCAAAAATAAAAAGATGATTTAAAAATACGAAATAAAATGCCACCCAAATTACGCTGTGTGATCTTAAACAAGTCTGTCCAATAAATTGCGCAATGTCGCAGTTTCATATAAGACACCAACCAAACAATAACAAAACAAACTATTCTTTGAAAATAAACAGATCATTTGCATTTTGAAAATCGGCGATTCAACAGCAAATAACTGAAAATGTTGAGCAGCTGAGATTGAACGAACTTTCGTGCACGAAGGTGACTACAATGCGCCATTATAAATTGCAGGTGAGCAGATTTATTTGATACATTTTTGGATATTTGTCATTTTATTTCGTTACCATGAATTTAATACTAACGAAATAAAATGACAAGAAGAAATGTAAAATAAAATGCATTTACTCACCGATGTCGTGCCTGTTCACTGAGGTGCACATCTACGCGAGTGTCCCCAAACGTTTTTAAACGCCCCGTAGCTTGTAAGTGCCCAGCCGTTTCCTTGCTGCCTTAGTAAAACAATCCAGTGTGGCTCCAAACACCAAATCGGTCAGTTGCAAGCAATAGGCATTCCCAGCAGTACAATTTGCAGCGTTT